CCACTATTGCTCCCAGCTCTGGCCTCTCTCCCATCTGTCCTGAACCTTCTTTTCTCCAGACTGACCTTGTCCGTTAATCAGGCCTTCTACAGCAGACTCAAGGCCCTTGGTTCCCTTCCTCTGGATGCCCAATTCCTAACCCATGCCATGGAGACCTGAACCCAGTTCTTCCAATGGGCACTCACTTCTCTCCCCACACCCCAATCCCAAGGCACCATGCTTTTCTTTAAAACTAGTGTTGTTACTAACTTTGATAGACTTGGCTCTTCTCAGCAATGCAATGACCACAGACAATTCCAAAAGACTCACGATAGAAAATGCTATCCACATCCAGAGAAAGAACTGTGGAGTCTGAATGCAGATCAAAGCATACGATTTGCCCTCTTTTTTGGTTTTGTTTTGTTTCTTCTTTCTCATGGTTCTTCCCATTGGTTCTAATTCTTCCTCACAACATGACTAATGTGAAAATGTTTAATAGGAATGTATATGTAGAGCCTATAGCAGATTGCATGTCATCTTGGGGAAGGGGGAGACGGGGGAGGAGGAGAAAATTTAAAACTCAAAAGCCTATGGAAGTGAATGTAGAAAACTAAAAATAAATTGGGTTTTTTTGGGGGGGGAGGGGTTTGGGCTAGGCAATAGGGTTAAGTGACTTGCCCAGAGTCACACAGCTAGTAAGTGGCAAGTGTCTGGTCTGAGGCTGGGTTTCAACTCAGGTCCTCTTGACTCCAGGGCCAGTGCTCTATCTACTGCGCCACCTAGCTGCCCCTAAAATAAATTAATTTTTAAAAATAGTGTTCTTGGCTATACTATCACACCGCAGTCTGGTGTATGGATAGACTTGGGCTGGAAGTTAGGAAGAGGTGGCAGGTTGGCGCCCTGACACTTCCTAGCCACGTATCCCTGGTCAAGTCTCTCTCCTAACCCAGAGACAGGCTGCAATGGTGGGTAGGTGTCCTCTAGAGTGAGGAGCATGAATCCCAGATTCCTCCCTTATTTGCACAGTGCAGATTATCTGTTCAACTTTGATCCCCCTTCCCCCATCTCACTCAGAAAAGCAGCTGCCTTGTGCCATGCTCCCATTTGTAGTCACAAAGTTGATTTTATGAATCCCAGCATAAAGTGTTGTCACTAATAATTACAATGATCTTAGATTCAGCTCAACCAGGTGCCTGTTATCTCTGAAGTTATCCATCCATCTACCTCTCCTCTATCTGTATCCTCCACAAATGAGATGAGCCTGCCCTCTCTGCCTTTGGGTGGCATCCCACGAGAGACCTTCCTTCAAGCCAAGGCAACTCATTGATGCTGATGAAAATCACACTTGGGGCTGGTTTTTAATCAACTCTGACTCAATCTGATTAGATCACAGTAAAACCCTTCACTCTCCCTCTTTCCACAAAAGGGGGGTGGGGGCAAGGGCTGTCTTACCTCTGTCTTTGTATCTGCAATGCCAAAACCAGACCCATTACAAAGAAAGCACTGGACAAGTGCTTATGCTTGCACCACTCTTAGTGAAACCATGCAGGTTCCTTGTGATCCACTGCCTCCTTTTCTAGAGATTCACTAGCCATCCCCTCAAATCCTAGAATTTGTCCAGCAGTCGAGTTAAGCTCACTGGCCCGTGGGATGCCCACTCCATTCTCTTGCATTTTTCAGAAACCTGTGACATTTGCCCTTCTCTGGACCTGCATCACCTCTTGAATTTTCCAGAATACTTCAAACACCTCGGGCAGTGGCTCATTAATGATGCTTGTGGAGATCTTTCAGTCCCCCTGGATGGTCCATTAGCTTTCCTGCTCTCTCTTGCTTACACCAGGCCTCATCATCCCTTTTTGGCCCTGTCTTTGCCACTCCAAGAACATCCTCCTTGGCAAAAAAAGCAGATGCCAAGTAAGAGTTTGCCTTCAGCTCTGCCTTCTCTTTGAGGTCTATTTGCAGTCCCTTGGCCCCAGATGTGGGTCAAGCCCTTGTTTCCTGTGTTTTTTCTTTATTCCATGATGGTCTTTGAAAAAAAAAAATCCCTTCATGGTCCTTAACTTTTCTTTGCAGCTTTCCACCTTTATTCATCTCCGCTGAGAGCCATTTATGAAACACCTACTGGGTGTCAAGGTCAGGGTCGTGTTCTTGTGCTCAGCCTATTACCTGACCGGGCCTCCCTCCATCTTCCAGAATGCATGGTGGACTACGCCTGGCTTTCTCAACCTTTACCCCAGAATCTGAGATGAAGATGTCACTTCCCCACAAAGTTCTCATCATTTCTACCCCAGCACTCAGATCCTCCCATCTGTTTCTTCCCCTTTTCATGAATGAAACCCTCATGAGTCAAGTCAAGAAGTTATTGGCTGCTGAAGGAAGGGAAGGAGAGAAAACAAGCCAGCAGATGTCCAGCTAACGGAAGATGAGAGAAGGCTGAGGAGGGTGTTGCCAAGCACCTAAGCACTTAGTAGAGAAGGGAGAAGCACTGAGGGCAGAGTCGTGGGGAGACAAAAAGGTGAGGGCTGGGCCGCTTCCTTCGGCCTTCTCGTCAGTTCTGCCAACCCATCTCTCTCCTCTATCCCCTTCTTCCCCCCCAGCAGGGGTCTTTGACTCCATCCACAGCCATGGTTTCTGCCAAACTGGGCCACCAGCTGGCTCCCAAGCAGAGCATTCTCCTGTGTAGTTTGTACCCCAGACTTATCGTGATGTTCTTCTGCCCTCCCCCATCCCCACCCCCGTCTCGTGCAATCTGATTTTTTTCAAGACTTCACGTGCTACCTCCCTTGCTTTCTCCCTCCTTGAATATGGAGCTTTTACTTATGACTAGAACGGCTGACGCTGCAGTCCATGAAAGATCCCCAAGGGCCGTTAAATTCAGCAAGCGTTTATTAAGTCTACCATTGTATACTTAAGCCACTCTGCCAGGCTCTAGGGACACAAAGCCAAAAGAAAAATAGAAAAAAAAAAAGATAGGATGCGCCCTGGATACATTCAGGGAAATGCCAAGTCCTATTAGGAAAGACTGAGCACGTACAACAGGGTGGGGGAGGCTTCAGGAGAGGGGAAGGATCAGGAAAGGTCTTTTCTAGGGAGTGAAGCCTGAGCTAACCCTTGAAGGAAGTTGGTGTGGCAGAAGTTGGAATGTCATTTATGTTAATAGGTGAAATACGAGAGAAGAGGGCCTGCCCTAAGATAGTTGGGGTGTGAGTGTGTGGAGAGGGGACAGACAGGGACGGCTGTGATGAAAGAAGAGCCAAGCATGCATCCCTGCAAGGCCAGAGGTGCCCTGGACAAGCGGGAACATCTGCAGAACCGATGCTACTGCTCTAGGCTGGTGATGTGGGAAGCAGCTGAGGCACTGAGCAGGTCTGGGGCTCATTTCTTCCTCTGACCCTGTCCTGGCAGCCCAGCATCCCCGACTTGGCATGCCCAGGGACCTCCTCCCCTTCTCTGGGTGACCCTCCACGCACAAGGCCCAGTCAATATTCCTGTCATTGCTGTTTTTAGCCACAAAGTCCTAGTTCAGTTGGTTTCCCTGGAAGCTGCAGACGGCTCCCTATGGTCCCTGCACACTGGCACCAGCCGTCCCTTGGCTGGGTACAGGTAGCGGCGCCCCAGCAATGTCTTTCTTGCTGATGACTCCTGGTTGATCATTACAGCTGCCTAATTGGTCCCTCGGCATCCAGTCTGTCTTTTTTCCGAATGGTCAAAGGCCAAAACAGCCTTCCTAATGTAGCTCACCAAATCACTGGCATAGCTCCTATGCTTTGGCAACACACGAACTCCTTAGGCCCGGCCCGAAGGCTTCCACTACATCTCTCCCAGACTAGGAGTCCATGTTCTGAGGCCACAGTCTGTCACTGTCATCACCCCAGGGCCCAGCACAGTGACCTGCCTTAGGCCAGGAGCTTGGCACATGCTAAATAACATTCCAGTGCCCACAGGCCACTCTATGGCAGAAAAGGATGGCTTGCACCCTGAAGAGTCAGCTCAGTGCCCCCTCCTCCAGGGTGCCTTCCCTGCTCCCTTCACCTGACAGGGGTGGTCCTCCTCTTGCCCAGGTATACCCCACCCACACCGAACTTGTTTGTAGCCTAGAGGTAGCCCTGCCCCTGCCTGCCCTGCCCTTACTGCTGTGTACTCAAGGCCTAGCAGAATAAGCATCATATGAATGTTTCGTCTTGCCTCTCCATGCCTCATCTATGAAACAAAAGGGTTAAACTAGATGATGTGAGGACTCCCTAAGTTCAGAGAGAAGGATCATGAGTGTTAAGTAAGACATTTCCTCCTCCCTAGTTCCACCACCCACCCACTCCCAATAGAGGAGGGGAGGGGAGAGGAGGGAAGTTTTACCCTTGCACCCAGACCTCCTTTCATCCTTAGGAAAAGCTCTTCAGGAGACCGAAGGGACTGAGTTCTCCCCCACCAAACACAGGCCATAGCATGTGGGGAAGGTCCTGCGCCTTTCAGGAGAGGAAGGGGGAGCAGGCAGGCCCCAAATCAAGGCGGAGCTCTCCTCCAGCTCCTCTCCACTCTCCTCCTTCCTGACCCTGGTTCTCACTTGGGATGACATTCCAAGGGTGAAGAGGCTAAAGGCTAGGCTGCATATTCCCAGGGACTTGGTACCTGCTGACCTAGGAGCATGACCAGGAAGACCCTGCCCTGCCCCTGCCCCTGCCCCCAGGGCCCATAAGAGCATGGAAGCCGCACAGTTGCTAACAACCACACCATACACCAATTTTCAAAATAATTTGGTTTTATAGCGTTCGAGTGTAACAAAAAGGCAAAGGATCAAACCCCTGGTTCCCCTGCACACAGGGAGGCAGGGCTGGCAGAGACCAGGCCTGCACAGTAAATTCATGGGCATCCCACAGTGCTCAGCCCACCCCCAAGCCCCTACATGATTGACAGCTTCACCAGTTAATACCGACAGATGCGACCCACCCACAGCAGCATCCTCTCCCCCTGCTGCAGGTGGTCCTGACTCATCATCCTTAAAATGCCCCCTTCCCCTCCCCCCACACTCCTCCCCCCACCCTCCACTCTCCACCTCCCTGTGCCATTCAGGGTACCGAGAAGCCTGGTCCACAAGTCCCCAATCCCCCTGCCCCAGAGCAGGTCCAGAAAGGGTTGGGACCTTGATACCCCACTGCCCAGAGACAAGTAAGGAGGTTCCTCAGGGGCTGGGCCCCAGCCCCCCATCCGGGTGCTTCCGGGGCCTGTGCCCAGCTCAGCCCCTGCTTGGCTAAACAGGGCTGTAGCTCTTCACATTTTGTTTTATCGGGTCGATCCTTCCGGCCTCCCCCCAGCATGGAGGCTACAGCCAGACAGGCACCAGGTGGAGACCCAACATACACACATATAAATATAAAAAGGAGAAAGGGAGGCAAGCACCAGTAATACTGCCTGTTCCTTGCTCCGTCCATCTGTCCGGCCAGCCGGCCCTTGGCCGGCACGCTTTCCCGCTCCCCCATGTGTGCTTGCGCACGCCCACAGGGGCAGGGGGCGCAGATAGCACCACCTCCCGATCCCCACAAGCAGGGCCCGGCCTCTTCAGGGGGGCTCCTGCTAGCCGCAGGCCCACCACCACTGTCCAGGGCCCCAGGCTCAGGGCTCAGGCTCCCTTCTCTCCAGCAACATGTGGCAGAAGGACCAGGGAAGGGAACGGGGCACCGGAGGAAGAGCTAGTCCATTTGGATTTTACAACTTCAGTTTCCAAAATACTACTTCGAGTTCCATGGATGTTTGGGGGCTCAGGACCCTGGAGTGCTCCTGCTTCACAAGCTGGGTCCACGCAGTGCCCCCTCCCTTATTCCATGATGGCCCGGTAGAGCGCAGGCTCAATATAATCTTCACGATATCGGGAATTGATCACTCGCTGCCGCTTCTTCTCCTGTCTGACGTCCTTCTCTGTGAAGATCTCTGTGAAGCGCATGTCTGAGGCCACCGACTAGGAGGAGACCGGAGGCGTATTGGTCAAGACCCCTCCATGGCCCGGGCCCCCCGCCAACACTTCCCCAAGCCACTCACCAGCCGGGACTTGACTCTCTTGGGGAGCTCCTCATCCAGCGTGTAAACATCATCTCTCTTCACCATGAGCTGGGAGCCATCTTCAAACTCTACCTGCAAGGGGGCACGGTTATTCAGCCAGAGCATGCCCTCACCTGGGCCCGCCTTGCCGCCCGCTGACCCGGCACCCACTGTAGGGGAGTGGAAGCTGCCTGGTGACACACAAGAGAGGCAGAGTCCTCCCCACGCCCCACTCGGGACCCCAGGCAGACGGATGAGGGAGGCAGCCTCCTTCGTGGGGCTCAGGTCAGCAGCCAGCCAGCTGTCCAGTACCTGGTACATCTGGATGGGATGAGAAGCTACGAATGTCGCTCCATAGACTTGTCCATCTGTCCATCGTACTTGGACCACTTCCCCTCCAGCAGGAGGACCCAACTGGAGACAGTCACGACTCTAAAGACCCAAGGGAAGGGAGGAGAGCAAGCATGACCAAAAGTAAGGCAGCTGGGGAGCCCTCTTCTTCCTCCTTCATGCTCAGGGAAACCCAGTACTGCCTCTGACCCAGACTCGAACCCAGGACACTCCAGGGAGCACCCAGCAAAGCCCCTTCCACTAGGCAGAGGTCCTGTGAGCTGTGGGGAGCCCAGGAAACAAATCCCCGGGTTTCTTCCCCAAACTTTTGCATTGAGAGGCTCCCCCGAAGGCTCAAGGCTTAGGACCAATCTGCTCTAATTTCCATAGTGTCAGATCAACTTCCAAGCCTCTTTCTTGCTAGAAGGGGGAGCCAAGCAGAAAGAGACGGGTGGGCTGCAGACGGCAGCCCCAAGGGGAGAGGAGGCGGTGACTGCTTGGGGAGGGGAGGGGGCTGCTCTTGCCCAGAAAGGCACTAGTTACCACAATGTCCTCAGGGTAGAGATTGTCGCTGAAGGAGCCGTCGTCAAAGTTGACCTCATAGAAGGTCTCCGTGGTGAGCTGGACCACCTCGCACTGGTAGAAGCGGCCATTCTTGTGCTTGCTGATGACCGTCTGGCCTGCAGAGAGGTCCTGGAGGGCGCCCTTGGCACGCTGAAGGAGACCGGGAGCCCAGGTCAGGCCTCAGCAGGCACAGAGGTGCAGGCCCCACAGCCCTGGGACTAACTTCTAGACTGTCTGAGCCCCGACACGCAACTCCATGGACGAATGTCCAAGATGGGAAGGAACCCGACACTGAGCCAATGCCGACCAGCACCCCTCAGGATGTGGGGAGACCGGAGAGGACTTGGGGTCCCTTCACCTGAAGAAGAGAAGGCTAGCTGTCTTCAAGTGTCTGAAGGGCCTGCAGGGGACCAGTGGGTCCCGGCAGTTGCTGAGGATGAGATCCGGGAGGTGTCAAAACCAACTGCCAACCAATCAGGGCCAGCTAAAAAGGGAGCAAGGAGGCTCCCCTCTAGGCCTTCAGGGAAGGCAGAGTGAGCCCTTGTCTGGGATGCCGGGCTTCCAGCAGAATTCTTGCTGTGAGAATCAGCCCTGAGGCCCCGGGGCTGCTGTGAGAAAGGGACAGTCCCTGTCTCCTCCGCCTCTTCCGAACGGCCACCTCCCTCCCTCCCTCACCTCTGCCTGAGAAGGAACCTTGTGCCGAAAGCAGGTGATGAAGACCACAAAGGGCCAGTCGTCCGGCTGCATCATCACTCCGGCGGCCTGGGCGCAGCTCACGTGGAAAGAGGTTGGGCAACGGCCATGGGAGCACTGAACGCAGCAACCGGCCACCCTCTTCCTCCGCTTCTTACAGAAGACGCATTTCTGGAGCAGAGAGACGGCGACCCCGTTACAGGAGTGACCTCCCAGCTACAGCTGCCGTCCCCCAGGCTCAAACCCTCCGTGCGCACGGCCCAGCAGAGCAAGGGGTCCTCTCCCTTACCAGCTTGAAGCGGAGAAGAGGGATTCTGCTCAGGTCCACTGGGCTGCGCTCAGCAATGTTGACAAACTTGGCTTCCAGGACGGCAATGGCACACATTACATGCACCCACCTACCACCAGGGCAAGGAGCTCAACTGTAGCCAAGGCTGTCCAGAGCCACCTTCTGCCCCAGCCTATGCCCACAGGCTACCAGCCTGGCACCCACTTCCAACGGGAGGGATCATGCCCTGCCCTAGCCCACAGATCACTCAGCAAAACTCACCGGCCCCATTTAGACACTGCCTGTGTCTTGTGGGGCTCAATCGCACCCAGGTTTTAAGCCTGTGGCCCTAATCAAGCTCATGGGTATGACAAGGCAGGGAGGACGTATTTGGCTTGTAGCTGACCAGCAGCAAAGGGTGGATGGCTACAGCAGAGAAGAGCCACCCACCAGGATACAAGCCCGGTGGGCTCATATTATCCTGGCCCTTCCCACAGTCTGACCCACACGCCCACAGCCTGGTAATGCCAAAAGCTATCCACTGGTCGTCCACCCTGGCTCTCGTCTCTTGGAGCACGACGAGTGAGCCCTCCCCTTCCTCCCTCCAGACACTTCCAAAGTGCTCTCCTCCTCCTCCCCCTCATTTCCCAGGGCTGACCCCTCCCCTCCTCCCCATCGTCTCTCCTTAGCGTTTCATCTCCCCACGCTCCGCCTGCCGTGTCAGGAGTGGGGGGGCGGGCCGCCTGTACTCACCGATCGTCGTTAGCTCTCTGCAGGGCCCCTCCTCGCAATGAGCACAGGCAGCAACCCTGGGGGTTAGGGGTGGGGAGTTAGCAGTGGCCACTGAGGCGCCAAGAACCCAAGCACTATCCCCACATCCCCTCAGAGGGGCTGCCCAGGCCTGTCACCTCCCCCACCACCCAGCTGCCATCGCCCAGCCCAGCTGCTCCTCACCTCCTCCAGAGCACTGGCCGAACACCTAGAGCACATCCAGTCGTCTGAGGCCTGCTCAGGGGAAACTCCGTAACAGCCTAAAGGAGACAAAAGAGAGCCCCTCAGGGAAAGCCCTGCCCACCCTCAGGCCACACACATGCACACATCTCTGCTAAGTGTCCTTCCAGCTGTCCTGTCAATCATTAAGGGCCACATCCAGGGGGTGTTTGCTGTTTGTGCCTCAACAACCCTCATGAGAGGTGGAAAAATAGGATTAGTCCCATATGGCACAAGAAGAAACTGAGGCTGTGGCTCAGATACCTTCCTTGCCTAAAGCTGCCATTTTTACTGGCCTGGACACCCAGTCCGTCCTCTCCCTGCCCGCCTTCAGGGTTTTCAAGGGCTTTCATGGAAACAACGCTCCCCGTCTTCTCCCCTGGGCTCCACCAAGCTACAGTCTCACCGAGCGCCAGAGGAACAGGACCTTCACAGTACCCAGAGAGCCTGGACAGCAGAGCCCAGGCAGCAACGGATCTACGGCCTTTAGGCTCTGAAAGGCCAAGCACCTCAGGCATGCAGCAGGAACTCAAGCTATGCTGGTCAGAGTGGACTGCTGAATGTCAGGTGAGCAGGGCAGCCCCCTCACCGACTTACTAGCATGGACACAGACACAGCATTTCTTGCAGGTGATCAGGATGCTAGTGCCATCTTCCTCCAAGTAGGGCGTAGAAAGGCTGAGGTCAGTGCTACACCCCGTCGCAGTGAAGCACATCTCGGGAATCAGAGGCTTAGTTCTGCGTCTCCCTGGGTCTGCGTCTGTCCAACTCTGGTTGTGGCCTCCTCCCTCAGCCTAGGAGACAGACAGGCAGCAGGCCCCAGTGGGCATACAGGCAGCACCCAGTAATGCTCCTGCCAGAAACATCATCAGATACAACTGTCCCTGCAAATGAAGCCTGCGACATCACCCCCTGCTCCTCACCCTGTCGATGGGGAGGAATTCGGGGCCTCAGCTAGACGACCCCCAAGGCCTCTCCATGGCAGCCCACGAGTCTAACTAAAGATATCCACAGATTCACCCCAAACCCAAGGGGGCGTTGTGGTGACTCCAGGATTCAGGCCTGAATCCTGGGCCCCCACCAGCTCCTCCCAACCTCATCCTAAGGATCTTTAGCAGGAGGGGCTATTACTGGGCCTTCACCCCCCTAGCCCAACCCACTAAGATTCATAAAGGCAGGGCCTGAGGTGAGCACCATTTATTCTGAGCCTTCCCCCCCCTCCCAGGCCTCTGGGCAGGGCACACACCCAGTCTTGGGGGGGGGGGGGGCGGGACGACAACTGGAGCATGACTTGTCCCAGGTCTCACCTGTTGGTAGGTTTGGAAAATCATACAGACTGCACAGTGTGGGGGCTGTTGGGCCATGCTCTCATTGTACACCCTTTCAGCCTCGAAGTTCAGGGGTCGGTTCTGCCAGAGCTGACTCAGGGGTTTGGCCCAAGGCTCTGTCTCTTCAGCCTCCTCTTCTGGGGTCAGCTGCTCACCAGCCTCTGCAACCAAGATCAGCCACAAGGTGAGGACACAGGGAGGAAGCTCAGGCCTGCTGGGCAGCACCAGGCCCTGGACCAAGCGACAGGGTCGCAGAGGCATGACCTACAGAATCCCCACTCGTCATGGAAGCCCTGACACAGCACAGCAAGCTGCCTTCCCCCTCTGGGGTACCCCGGTGCCCAGAGCGGGATGCTCAAGAGGAGACGCTGCCAGAAGAGAAAAGAAGGTGCAGAAGTCACTTTGTGGGCATGCTTGAGGAGGGTGACTCCCAGGCACTCTGTGGATTTTTTAGTTAGTATGAGCAGGACTTCCCTCTTTACATGTTCCCTGCAAACAGAGATAGTTTTCTCTCTTTGCCTGGCTTTATACTACTACTGATAGTACCAACTAGCACTTACATAATGTTTTATAGTTTAAAGTTTATAGTCTATAGCTCAAAGTGCAAAGCACTTTACCTATGTTACCTGATTCAATCTTCACAACAACAAAGCTGTGAGGTGGATTCTATTATTATCTCCATTTTTTTGATGAGGAAACTGAAGAGTCTGAGGCAACATTTGAACTCAGATCTTACTGACCCAAGTCCAACATTCTACCCACTGCTCCACTTTAGATGCCTTTAAAAACTGCTTTTATTTTCTTTCTCTAGTCTTACTGCAAAAATGTCGCTTTTATTTAAAGCCCAAAAGTTAAGACATGACATACACATTTGTACACAGAGAGGAAAAAACCTCTATCAGAAAAGGAGGCAAGGTATAGGGAGTTCTTCAGGCTCCCTCACTGCCACCATCACTCAGTGCTGGAGTGAATTTTGAATGAGAGCAGGCAGTGTCAATGGGGCCTCCTCCTCTCACACCTCCAGCCTCCCTCCACAGGCTGAGGGTGCCTGAGAACTCGGCCTTGATTTGGCTGCAAGAATTTCTAGAACTCTATCAAACAACAACAAAAGGGGCATCTTGGTTTAACTCACGCACTGACTGGGAGGGCTTCCCTACTGCAGATGATGCAGGCACTGGGGTTTTCATTAATGACAATGCTCCTTCTCTGCTTCATCCTTCCTTGATCTAGTTAGGCAATATGTCTCATTAAGAGTGGTGCAGTGCTTTCTCAAATTTCGAGAACAATTTTGTAATACAGAGCCTGTCAATTAGTGCCATCTCTCGAGTATGCCCCCATCTCTCCTCGGACACCCCCCCTCCCCCATGCAGGCCGCAGGCCCATCCTCATCACCTCACACTTGGACCACTGCACAAGCTGTTGGGGGGGGGGGGGTGTCCTGCCTGCCTCCACTCAGCCAGGACAAAAGGGGCTTTCCTAAATGCAGGTCTGATCATGTCACCCCCTTACTTAATAAATTCCACTGGCTCCCCAGCTCCTCCATCTGGCCCTCAAAGCCCTTCATAAGCTATCCTCACCCTGACTTTTCCAATCTACATCCCCCCAATTCCACCCCTCACAATCTGTGAGCCAGTGACTCTGCCTTCTGGCTCTTCCTTCAATAAGACTTCCCAGAAATGCCCAGTAAGACTGCAATCTCCAGGCCTCTGCTTTAGTTGTCCCGTTTGGCTTCCCTGGCTGAGGCCTTCAAGCCCCAACTTAAATCTGACCTTTCTCCATCCCCCTTAATGCTGGTGCCTTCCCTCTGGTGATTATCTCCAATTTATCCTGTATGGAGCTGGTTTGCATAGCATTGTCTGCATGTTGTCTCCCTCTTAGACTGTAAGCTCCCTGAGAGCAGAGCAGGGACTGTCTTTTCCCTTTCTTTGTATCCACAGCACTTAGCACAGTGCCTGGCACACAGCAGGCACTTAATAAATGCTTACTATCATTATTGACTGTTGACCAAAATATTCATAGCAGCAATTTCAGCCGAGCAAGAACCAGAAACCAATGAGATGCCCATAAATTATGGCCCAGCTTATAAACAAGTTGGGGTCCCTGAATGCAATGGAATCTCACGTGCTGTAAGAAATAACCAACAATGAATACTGAGAAGCTTGCAAAGCGAAGTCAGCAGAACAAGCAGACCAGGAGGGAGGCCGAGGACGGCCTGCCTGCCTGGGTCCCAGCTACACTCTCAGCAAGCAGTCAGGGCACACCTCCAAAAGGTTTGTGCAGTGGCCAAGAAGGGGTAAATCAATGGGCCCGCCGGAAATAGCCTGGGCTCCACACGGCAGAGGATTGCTTCAGAGGCCCCATCCCCAACCCTATTCAAGTCTCCTAGTCTCCACCCGAGTTTAATGGGAGGCATGCCAAAGGAACCATCCACAGGACCAAGCCCCCAACCTAAGGGAGGACCAGAAAGCGTCTGCGAGGAGCTTATCAGAAGGGGGTTTAAGAAGCAGAGAAGGGCCGAGGGGAGGCCTGAAGGGAAGGCTCCCTGTCACAAGCTCCAGGGTACAAGGATCCACAGGACTCTGGGGTCTGACTCTGGGCACAGTGCACAAGTCCACCTGCCTGCCCCTTCTGGCAGCACTCACCATCATCACTGCCACAGTCTTGGGCCACGAGTGGGTGATGTCGAGGAAGCTTGCTCAAGGGCTGCCGACGGCCCTTCGCCTTCTGACTCTCCTCTTCTTCATTCTAGGCCAGTGACAAGAGTGGTTAGTGCAGAGCTCTAAGCCAGCCCAGCAGGAGAAGACCCCAACAAGAACCACCAGACCCCACCAGAAGGGCCCCTCCCTTCCCTGGGACTGTTCTGCCATCTCGTCCCTGAGGTTATTTGCTACTCGGTGTCAGCCTGCTCAAAGGCCCAGTTTTTTAAAGGGAGTTTCTCTAAAGATGGTCATTTCCAATACCAGTAGAAAGATGCACTAACGTTCCCAGTGTCTGCACACAGAGCACATCATCTCTCTTAAAAGCCCCCTGAAGCTATGGGCCTGCAACACCCCACAATGCCTCAGTCAGTGAGAACATAGCAGAAATGTGGAGTCAAGAAGACCAATCGGAATGCTCTCCACCTCTAACCCTACAAAGGTCAACGCACCCAGAAACCTTCTGTCAGCATCTCCCCTCTTGGCTCAAATGAAGAGGTGGCCCCTTCTTCCTTGCCAAGGTAAACTCTACCGGCACAAGTGATCCACAACATCTAAGAGACCCACCCCTCCATTATCCCCACCCTCACAGATCTTCAATCTTTCCTCTGCTGACTGCTGCCCTCCTGCCTACAAACATGCTCATGTCTCCCTGATGCTCAAAGCCCCCTCACTCGCTACTATCCTCTTTCCTCCTGCTCGTGGCTAACCTCCTTCAGAAGGCCGTGAACACAGTGCCTCCACGTCCCCTCCTCTCACTCCCTTTGAATTCTCCACAGTTCCATTTCTGACCTCATCATTCAATCACCTCTCAAGTTCCCAAGGATCTCTTAACTGGCAAACCTAGAGGCCTCTCCTCCGTCCTCCTCTGTCCTGAGCTCACTGACACATGACACTCTCACTCGCCCTCTCTGCAAGCTCTCTTCCTTCTGGGCTGTCGTGCCACTGCTCTGTCCTGGATCTCCTCCCACCCATCATCCTGCTCCTCACTGTCCTTTCTTGGATCTTCAGCCGGGTCACCCCTACAAGCTACGGGCATCCCACAAGGTTCTGTCCTGGGGCCCTGTCTCTTTTCCCTCTATCATCTTTGATTTCTTCAGCTGCCACGGATTCAACTATCACCATTGCTCTGACAATTCTTGGATCGACTCATCCTGACTTCTCAGCTGAACTCCAGTTTTACATCTCAGAACTGTCTTTCAGGCATCTCAGACTAGATGTCCCACAGACATCTTAAACTCAGCACGTCCAAAACAGAAGTTCTTATGTTTCCCCCTCTTCCCAACTTCCCCATTACTGCGGAGGGTACATCCTTCCCCCCACAACTCCTCACTCTCTCATCCCCCTTCTCCTCTGATCCTGGCAGCCCCCGGGGCACAGGCCCTTGTTACCTCACCTCTGAACCAGCGCAATAGCCTGCTGGTCTCCCACCAAGTTTCCTGCAGCCCATCCTCCACTCAGCTGTCAAAGGGATCTTCCTAAAGCAGTCTCACCAGGGCACTCCTGCTCAAATCCCAGCTGTTCCCCACCACCTCCAAGATCAAACATAAACTTCTTGGCTTGGCATTCAAAGCCTTTCATAAGCTGGCCTTTCTCCTTACACTCCTTCCTCCACCCTCCATGTTCTCTGGGATCCAGTGACACTGGTCTGTGCTGTTTCTCAAACAAAGACCCACCATCTCCAGACTCCTGGCATTGTTGCTGGCTGTTGCCCCTGCCTGGGATGCCCCCCGCCCCGACTTCCTTCTAGCCCTCCACTGACATCCCACCTCCCACAGGAAACCTTTCCCAATCCCCCTCAATGCCTGTGCCTTCTCCCTGTAGATTACCTCCAATTTACCCGTCTATATCCCCTAGCTCCCTTCAAGGCTCAACTCCAGGGAGCCTTCCCTGATTGGCATTTCTAGCATCCCACCAACTGAAACGGATGGTCTCAGTTGTGCATCTGGATGCGCAGAGCCCAGGAGGAACGTGCCAGGCATATGAAGGAGCTCAGTCAACGCTTGCTGACTGACTCATTAGCTTCTGAGGTTTTTAAGGGTGGCCAATCTTTTCATCACTGGCCCCTCTGTCACCTCCCCCTTGACCACCCACAATCTCTCTGCCCCAGGCCTGGGAGCACTTCAGGAAGAGAAGGGGCACCTGCCAGCCCAAGCACACAGCTCACCAGCAAGATCTGCTTGCCCGTGGCAGAAACCCGAGTCCCCCAGGGTGCCTGGGAAAGGGAGGCCTTGAGCTGACCCAGACCCCAGACTAGCCCCAAGCACAGTGCCACACAGGGCAGGAGCCCTTGGCCCTCTGTGTACATGCCACCCACTGTGCTGGAGGCTGTTCAGCAGACACCCAGCAATGCTTGCTAAGCTTAATCTTCCTACCTGAGTGAGCCTTAAAAACCTTCTCAGTTTAGCAAAAGCACCATGGTGTGGACAGTGTCTCAAAAACGGAGTTATTTTAACATGATATATCAAGGGAGACCATGGCCAATACCAGAACTACTAGGCAGAACCATTTGTGGGGGTGGGGGGGAAGGAAGGGAGGAAGGAAAAGAGGGAGGGAGAGAGGAAGAATTTATTAAGAGCCTACTATGTGCCAGGCACTGTGCTAAGCACTTTATAAATGTTATTTCATTTGATCTTCATAATGATCCTGTGAGGTAGGTACCCATTTTATAGTTAAGGAAACTGAGGCAAACAGAGGTTAAATGAATTGCCCAGGCACACCCCAGCAAGTGTCTGAGGCAGGATTAGAACTCCACACCCAGCACTCTCTCCACAATACTACCAGGCCCTCAACAGGCCAAAACCAAAGGTGGGGAAGCTGTGACCTCGAGGTCACATGTGTCCCTCTAGGTCTTCAACTGCAGGCCCCTTGACTAAATTCAAACTTCACGAAACAAATCCCTTTAATAAAAGAATTTGTTCTGTAAAACTTGGACTCAGCCAAAAGGCCGCACCCAAGGACCTAGAAGGCCACAGGTTCCCCACCCTTGGCCAACCAAAGGCTTCTGCCTTGGAGCAGGCCCTCCCAAAGCCCCTGAATCTGGCCTGGCCTCCCTGCCCCCACCCCAGCCCTGCCACGGCTAGCACCTCAGAAAGCTCTTGTTCTGAATCATCATCCTGGGCACAGCTATGGGCAGTCAGTGCTTGGCGGGCTCGATGAGACCGGGCCTCAGAACTGCGAGCTCGGCTCTTTTTAGAGGCTTGGTTTGTAGTGCTGGACAGAGAGAGGTCCAAGGCTGCTGCTTCCTCCTCTTCCTCGTCCTCGTCCTCATCTTCCAATTTAACATTCTTGAGCTCTTCAAATCTGACCTCAGCACAGTCCGGATAATCTGAAAGGAAGAGTGCAGTGAGCCCCAAAGGACAATTAGGGCCAGTCAGACGTTCTTGGTGAGGCTGGAGGGCAGCAGTCACCAGGCTAACAGGTAGTTAGACAGATATCTGGAGCAGGGTCCTGCCCAGTCACAGGGTCCAAACACTCTGAAGAGACACACCCAAGCCCTTCCTGGGGCCCCCTCCCCGTCTCATGGGCCGCACCTAACCCTCTACTCTGTAGCCCAGAGGATGTCTGTGTCTCTTTTTTTACCACCAGAGAGGACCGGGAGCTACACAAAGCTGATAAGTCACCAACTCTGAGCAACCCTCCAGGGCTCTGCTCTGAGGCCACAAAGGGAGTCGAAGGCTGCCTGCCTAAGCTTGCGGGTTTGAGCCACGCCTGGCTTGGGGGGCAAAAAGAAGAGACTAACCTGGCGAAAGAAGGGTGCCGTTCTCAGCTCGCAGTGGTGACACCAAGTCTGGGACAGCTTTCCCAGGAACAACGGCTGTCTGCTCCCCATCCATCTCATAGGGTTCTCTCTGGGCAAAAGCCTCGCTCTCACTCACCTCCTGAGGCACCTCAAGACACACCCGGTGCCTCTTGGCTCCAATCCGATGCCTGGTGGGGCTGTCAGAGAAACACACACCTTCTTAGGGGAACCCTGGCTCCCTGGAAGGGCCAGTCTGTCCTGTCAGCAAGCAGCACATTCGAGATGCAAATGCGCAAAGTCCCCGGCCTCAGGAACCTCACACTCTAAGCAAAGGTACAGTAGAAGGGCATTCCCAATCCTAAAGGTCATTCCCAATCCTAGTGCTCCTTAGGCAAATCACCACCTCTCTGCAGCAATGAGGGAGTCACACTGGGTCTCCAGAATGCTTCTTCTTGCTCTACAACCAATAATCTCCCACGACATCTGTTCCATATTTGTTCATTCCCAGAAGACCCTCCTGTCCAAGCCTCCACCTTCAGCATTCTCAAGCCAAGCTTCACACCCTCCTGAGCTGGCCTCACTCCCTGCCAATGTCCCACACCAGTGGGACCCTGATCCTGGCAGGCCAGGAAAGGGTATGTTGGCCGAGGGAGCCCCCTTCTTCTCCCCAGAGGCCGTCCCAGGAGTCTGTCCAGGTCTCCCAAGGAAGACAACGCCCACCGGTGTTTGTGTCCTTGACACAAAAGCTCTGTGACCCTCAGCAGCAGGTCCTGGTTACCTTCTCCGGGCAGCCTCACTGCCTGGGTCCCCACTGCTGTCCAGGGCTTCCTCTGGGCAGTCCTGCTGCTCCCCCTTGTGGAACTCTGCTGCCTCTGGGGTGGGCAGCGTGTGGTCAATGACAGGGGCATCTTTGCCAGCCTTCCACAGCTTGTACCGCTCAGGCTGGAACTTGCGCACAAACACATCCATGGATATCTTCACCATATCCTTCCGGCAAGAGCACTGAGCCACAGAGAAACAAGGCTGCTGCTAAGAACCCACAGCAGGCCCTAGCTTCGCCCGCCCACAGAGCCCACAGAAGTTCACTCTCACTCACTGAGGCCTAGGGGCACCCCCGGGAGGCACGGGAACATTTTTCTAATGTGATGAGCTTAAGAACCCAACATGAATCACTGATGAGTTAATAATCTGCCTTCTATCAACAATATCCCCCAGTGATTTAGAATGGGATCTCAGGAAGAACTGAGGGGCCCGCCATATAGGGTGCTCCTTTCTCTAGGGGCTCAAGGCCTTAACCCCCAGAGTGTATTGGGGCCAGGGAGGGGCCACGTGAAAGAAAGCAAAGTCTAGTCCTGGGTGGGATCCTCTTCACTCCACAGACACTAATAAGGACTAACTGGGACTGTCAAGAAGCCAGACATAAGATGGAGTCAAAGCAGCCTTCCCCAAGGAGAGGAGCCTTTTGTGCTCAAAAGTTACAAGCTGGGATTCTGCTGGCTTTCAAGGCTGGTCTGTTTGGCAAAGAAAAAGCCATGGTCTGTCTCAGATCCACCACAGAGTGGGAAGGGGGCACTTCCTGGCTTAGGCCAAGGTACAGAACCTTGACCCCATACACCTGCATATATCTGGGGGTCTAGTTAGTCTCTAAATCTCTGGGCACTGGTTTTTCTGAAAACCCAACGACTGCTGAGAAGAGGTGGGGCTCCTGCCCCTGTGCTTCCACACCCCCAGGACGGTGCTGCCAGGCCTGCCTTGCTGCAGTGGCCAGGGCTCCCCAACGTGGCCTACCCTAAGGATGCCTGAACGACTGCCCCCCTGTGTACCTTCACTGTGTCAGGGGCTACTCAGGGCTGCACCCCAGACACCAGAGGGTCGGGGCAAGGTGAGGTCTCCTACCCAGGTCAAGCTCTCTTGTGCTGGGGAAAAGGCCTACGCTGTAAGAAGAGCCAGACCCTTTCCCACTCTGTTTTAATGTCTGAGGTGGGCTTGAAGGCAGAAACTGTATCTTCAACTTCAAAAGCCTCAAGAGAGAAGGGCCAAGAAGCCCAAAGCCCATGAAAGGTTCTTGTATGGTGAAGATCTTGGGCTTTTGGCCCAAGGCGTGGCTGTGTATTACATAAAATGATGCACTTAGTGACTGAATCCCAAAGTCTCAGAGCTGGAATTGACCCCAGAAGACACTAATCCAACCTGCCTAGAGTAAAAATCTCTTCTATCTGCAGGTGCCTGCTTGGCCAATCCTCCAGAGCTCCCCTGCCCCACCCAGGGGCTAAGCCAAGCTCTCCCTCACACCAGGTCTCAAAGTGGCCCTAAGAAACATCCCTGCACGGCATAGGGTTCAGCCTCTCAGGGATCAAGAAGAGCAAGCCTGAGCTTCCTCCCCCAGTTCACTACCACACAGGACGTCCCCTGAGCCTCCCTTCACCAGACTAAGTGTTTCCACTCTTCGTGGGACCTGGACACCACCCTCCCAAAGCCGTGCCGGATACCCAGAACTGGCCCAAGTACTCCAGGGATGTGCTCAGCAGTACGGACAGGGAGGTTCCTCACCCCCAGCCCTGGCCAGCAGGCACAGGCTCCTCCAGGTCCTTACCAGAACAGACTGCTTGCCATACTCGATCCAACGAAGGGTGGCAAAGTTAGTAGACTCGGCACAATTGAACCCATGGTTGAAGCCAGCATGGTAGCCATACGGAAAGGTGATCATAAACTCTCCAGCCTCCTGAGTCACCTGAAACCAAGAGGGAGAGGCCCAGTTGGAGAAGTACAACTCAGTGGAGGGAGGCCATCATCTGCACAGCTGGGGGATTCCATGAGTGAATCTCTAAGGCCCCTTTCCAGCTTCCCAGGCCACCTCAGGACTCACCAATTAACTCTTCCCCATCCCCCATTTCTACCTCCAGATCAGAGTGAGACATGCGTGTTCAGTCGCTGTGGCCCTTTTGGAGCTCCCTCACCCTGGCCACACTCCCTCTGTCCTTTGGACATCCTGAGCCCTTCCCAGCCCAGAGGAAGCCCAAGTCTGTAAAGGGAAGGCCTACGGCAACCACACACCAAAGAACTGGAAATTGAAGGGATGCTCATTAATTGGGGAATGGCTGAACAAGTTATGGTATACGATTGGGATGGAATACTATCGGGCTAGAAGAAATGAAAAGCAGGATGCTCTCAGAAAAACCTGGCAAGATTTATACAAGCTCATGCAAAGTGAAGTGAGCAGAACCAGGAGAATATTGTACCCAGGAACAGCAATTCTGTAAGGGTGATCAAGTGTGAGTGACTCAGCTACTCTGATGAAGATGAGGACCCAAGACAATTCTAAAGGAGCCGTGATGAAAAACGCCATCTGGCCCCCGAGAGAACTGATGAACTGAGTGCAGACTGAAGCAGACTTTTTTTTAACTCAATTTTTACTGTTTTATCCTGTCTGCTTTCTTTTGTAACATGGCTAACTTTCTGCTCTGCATGACTTCACAAGAATAGTCAACATCAAATTCTTACCTTCAAGGAGGGGGCAGAGCTGAGAGGGAGAGACAATATGGAACCCAAAATTTTTAAAAATGACTTACAATTTTTTTACATGTAACTGGGAAATAAATAGAATTAAAAAAACAAAACCAGCCACACTGATCAAACACACAAAGTACAGCTGGCTATCCAGCAGAACCGCCAGCTCCAAGCCCCAAGAAGAGCACCCTGCTCCTCTCTCCAAATGCCCATGCTCCTCAGCCAGCAAACAGGGAACCCACCTTATCAAAAGGGATGCCATACTTCTTCAGGATTGAAGGGGAAATCAAGGTCATTTTATGGCGGAGAAAAGCCTCACAGCTTTGGGCACTTCCTGGGAAGAAACCTACGTAAGAGAGGAAGAGAGGGTTAGGGCCAGCTCACTACCCTGAGTCTCCCAGGAGGGGCAGGAGGGACCCCAGCAGCGGGGAGCCAGCCCAGCCCCTGCGCTATCAGGGACTCTCCCAAGCACATCTCCAGCCTCAGCTTATACGATCCTGGAATGAGGAGGAAGAGGAAAGCATCGGTCACACCTCCTCCTGTGGGCTCCAGCCCCTGCCACCTGCCTGGACAAGCAACCCTCCCACCCCCCATCAGCATACAGCTTCGGCCATATGTGAAAGTCCCCATCTACTTATTCTGGTAGAAAATAAATCAATGCAAACCAAGAATCAAACACCCAAAGGACAAAGGCATGCCTTTGTGGCCTCAGTTCTCTGGACAGCCTGCCTTCTCCTGAAGGGAAGTGGGGCTGGGGGTCTCAGTGGGGATTCCTGTAGCTAAGGAAGTCAGGGCAGAGAAACATTACCTTTGGCCAGCCGCTCCAGACGTTTGCCGTGCTCTGGGGGAATGGAGTACCTGCAAGCACACAGGAGTATCACAGACGGGGCAGGGGACATGGACGCATCTCATCCCCTGCCAGGTCCTGTCTCCTCACCCCCACAGATGGCACTGCCTCTTGCAACCCCAAAGCCCGGGACAGGTGCAACAAGGTGACGAGGTCCCAGGAACATGCAGTAAAGGCTCCCACCCCAGGGGCCTGCGGGCAACACTCCACAGGAAGACAATGACTTAGCAAAGCCATGACTCTGGCCATCTAAAGCTCCCCTGACATCTGGCTGCTGACAGACCTGTCACCTTCAGCAGCCCCAAGAGGAACCTGAGCCAGGAGGGGTCAGTCTACCCTCAAATATCTCAAAGAAAAGAAAGCTGCTAAGGCAGGCTTCAATCACAATGGCATCGAGTGCCCGGAGGTTTGAATGGGGCTCGACTCCCATTATCTCACCTGATCCTCAAGAAGGACCAATGCAGCCTCCCCTCAGTCATCCGACCAGCCCCAAGCAGACCTTAGCCTCCTCCCAAGGCCGACTGACCCTCAGCTTTCAGGAGCCACCTGCCCACTTCTGTTCTTGGCTTAACAGCTGGGTCACCTGCCCCCTCCTGCCCCCCAAGGCTCTTGGTGACCTTGGCCATGACCCTGGCTTCAAGGGTGCCTCTGTGCCCACCCCATCCAACTCTTTCTTATCCCCCCAGATTTTGTTTCCTTACTCAATAGCTCTAGGCGTTGCCCTAGCCTTTCCCCAAAAACCTGCCCCTCTTCTGCCCAGCTGCCCTACTTCTCTGGACAAACCATTGCCCACCTCTTCCCCACCCCGCCAGTACGCAGGGCACAGGTGGATACACCTGCAGAAATGCTCATCAGAACATTGCCTCTTTCCCTGGGCCACCCCCACATCTCAGGGGGAGGCAGATTCCCCGTCTTACGCTCCATCACCTCTCCTGTACACACCCCCTGCTCTCTATGGGGCAGCTCTGACCTGGACTCTCTAGTCTCTCACACACCCCTCACTAGCCCACCATCCATGGTGCTGCCAAAACCATTTTATTCATGTCGAGGTCCAACTAGGTCATCCAACACTTAGTCCAGAATCTTTGGGGGCCCAGAATCCAAGACACACACCAGAACAAACAGTGGCCAATGGCATTCTGGCCACACCCTCTCCCAGCCTTTCTTCCCATTCCAGTCCCTTCACCGCCCTAAGCTCCAGAGAAACTAAGCCAGGTGCAGACCCTTCAGGACACACCCTCCTCGACCCAGACCGCTACCAATGCTCACTCTCCTGTGTTTCCCCGGTACCTGACGTCAGACAGGTGGGCCGGCCAGACTCACCAGGACTTGGGCTCGCCAAAGTGCAGGTAGTTGATGCTATACAGGTCCATGTCCTCTGTGTGCCAGGCAAAGGAGGTTTTCCACATGCCAAAGTAGAGGTAGGGAGTGTTGACGCCCTCAATGGTGATGCCGCTCTCGTTCTCCACCACATCCAGGATGGTGTTCAAGCGCCCAATGTTCCACTCGTCTACATGCTGCAAGCCACAAGCCAGGTCAGGAGTGGGAGAGGGGGCTCAGAAGGTACCTCCTCTCCCTACCCCACAGACTCTGGGATGGGATTTCCAGGTGGTTGTGAGTGGTAGCAGCAGTAGGACTGCTTCCGGCAGGAGAGAGGGCACATGGGCAGACCACCAAGTCCCCTGGTCAGGCTAGATGAAGCGGGAGCACAAACAGAGACACGTAGGCAGCTGCAGGCTGGCCGCTAAGCCCAACTGCCCACTCAAGTGGAGGAAGGGGAGAGGGCAACTTCTTGCCTGTGACACATCCATTTCAACATTCAATCACCTACACTGAGAAAGGACCCACCATCAGTGGAGCACTGTGCCCAGGGAGACCTGAAGGCTGGATCAAACACCTGGAGCTCATGGCTTAATGGGGACTTAGCCAGGAGGACGCTGATGAACGGGATGTTCAGGACTGAGAGTAGGTGGTACCCGGGGACAGTATGAAGTCAGGAAGGGGATGGAAAACAAATTCTGTTTTGGGAGTGCCGAGTTTGAGATGCCTCAGGGACATCTGGGGCTGAATCTCAGGAGAGGGATTAGGGCTATGTTATAGAAGAGATCTGGGAACCATTTGTATACCACCACCCCCCATCCCCCCAGTAGAAGTGGCTGAAATCATCAAGGAAGAAAGGGCAGAGAGAAAGAGGCTCCTGGACTGAACCCAGGGGACACCCAATTAATGGGTATGATGCAGATAAAAAGGAAACTGAAGAGGGAAGGGTGCCCAGAACAATGTCAGGAACCTAGAGGAGATAATATCCAACAACTCAACATGCATTAAGTGCCTACTATATGCCAGGAACTACAAGTGAGCAACAGTGTCAAAGGTCACAGAATGAGGCTGTTAGATTTGATAATTAAGAGACTATTGGGGGGCAGCTAGGCGGCACTGTGGATAGAGCACTGGCCCTGGAATCAGGAGGACCTGAGTTCAAATTCTGCCTCAGACCAAACACCTGACACTTACTAGCTGTGTGACCCTGGGCAAGTCACTTAACCCCAACTGCCTACAAACAAACAAACAAAAAAATGGCTTTTTCAAAGAACACAGATGAGAAGGGGAGGAAAAATGCTGGACCACAGCTCTCAGGAAAGCTTGCATCAAGCAGAGATTCTGAAAAGATGAGGGAGAAGGGACATGGGGGGGCTTTGGCAAGAAAGCCAGAAATGAGAAAGAGAAGGACTACTGGGAGGGGGCAGGAGGACTTTAAAGGTTGTAGTCCTTTGGGGGGCCAGGAGCTGAGGCTACAGGGCAGTCCTGAAGCAACACAGGTCTTAGGTCCTTCTAGCCAGGGGACTAGAATCCCCAAGAGGTCACTGCCACGATGAGGAAGAATCAGGCCTGGGCCTGCCCGGGGTCTGAGCTACGGTGCGCAGGCACGCCTAAAGGGAGAGGCCGACCTCCTGGCGACCTCCTGCTCTCTCCTACTTGGGGATCTCACAAGAGAGCTGTTTGTCTGGAGTGACAGGGACTCCGCACAGAGAGGGAAGAGTGAGTCTCGAGCAAGTCTGAGGTTTTCCCCTTGCAAGCAGGCCTACCCACTGGAGTTCTAAAAGGCTGGAGGACCATCTCAACTTTCAAGATAGGTAGCAGCCTCCCAGAAAGGGAAAGACTGGTGTTTTACAGTGCAGGCCTGGGGCCCTGGAGCTGATAATGAGGTTTAAAAAAAAAAAAAAAAGCCTGAAATCTAACGGTATCTTCTTAGGGGTAAGGGTAGGGAACAAGCATTTATTTAGCATCTATGTGCCAGGCGCTGTGTCAAGCACCTAACAGATATTATGTCATACACTCCTCACAACAACTCTAGCAGCTAAATGCCATTATCATCATCCCCATTTTTGAGATGAGGAAACTGAGGCGCAAGGCGATGAAGGGATGTGCCAGGATTGCACAGCTAGTAAGTGGTCTAGTCTTTGAGTCCAGCTCACAGGGCTTATACAGAAGCTGAGAGCCCTGTCCCTTTTTTGATTCTGGCTTAGACACAGGACCCTGACCCGAGAGACGCTGATGCATGAATCTGCCCCTGGAATGAGCTCAGAGCTTTGGCAACGGGCCACAGCTCACACGTGAGCAGACAGACCTTCTTCCCATTCCTCTGCACTCTTGGTCCACACTGTGACCTCTCATTCCCAAACCACTGAGCCCTCAGTTTTCTCCCAGGCCTCCTCTGCTCATCTTGACCCATCAACGAATCAGTCCAACTCTGCACTGTTCTCTTCTCCCGAATCCCTGGCACCCCTGTCATGTCACCAATGGCACCTGGCCAAGGCTCAGCCTACCATCGCTCCCACCATCTGCTGCCCGTACCCTAAATGTGTGCTGCTGAACTACAGAGGAGAAACCACAGCACGCTGACAGGGTCTATTACAAACATATGTCACACGACACCAACTGGGCTCTCACTGCTGCCACGTGATCCCACTACACTTCCATCCAGGGACACCGGCCTTCTGGCTGTTCCAGGATCAAAGACCCTCCATCTCTGGTCTGGGATGCCCTCCCTCCCCAGGCTTCCATCAAGTCCCAACTAAAACTCCATCTTTCACAAGGAAACTTTTACCAAACTCCTTTAATTCTAGTGCCTTTCCTCTGCTAGTTATTTCCGACTTATCCTGCACATAGCTGGCTTATACATACTTATTTGTTTGTTGACCCTAGATTAGACTGTGAGCTCCACGAGGGCAGAGGCTATTGTCTGCCTCTTTCTTGTAGCCTCAGCGTAGCACCCGGGGCACAGAGTTGGTGCCTAACAAATGTGCACTAACTTTCCCATTTCTGAGGGAACTTCAGCCACACTGTCTTTGGCACAAATTCTTACTTCTATACTGGTCTGATCCAATCACTCTTCCCAATTTCATTGTTTTTTAAATTCTACATCTTAAGAGACAGAGTAAGAAGTCACCTAGTGTACTGTATAAGTCCAAGTCACAGATCCTGGAGAATGGAACCCCAAAGCACCAAAAGAACCAGCAGCTCTAACTGGGGAGGAAAGCATGCCAGGAAGCCCTGAAAAACTGGGGGGAGGTGAAGTTAGAAGGGGGTCACTGAATCAATTTTCAAAAGCAAGACAAAAGTGGAGTCTGCCAACAATAAGCTGGTGAGATTGACTTCAGTTTCTGGCAATATTTGAGAATATTTTGTGAAAAGGACAGTCCATGAGCACCTACAAAAGGCAGCAGCCATCCCATGCCAGTCCACCTGGCTGTGCCAATCTCACCAGACTCACTTTACCACCTCCCAGAGAGCTGGCAATTAATCAGCAACTACGAGATTCTTTTCTAGACAGGGCCATCAGCCTGAAAGAGCAGGGGACAGCTAGAAAGAACTAAGTGACCTTGGCTTCCCTTTTGCTCATGTTCCTGAGCACCACTGCAAGACAAGAGGACCAATGTCCAGCAAAATTCTTAGTCATCCTCACCAGAAAGACCCCAGGAGCCATTCTGCCCAGAGTGGGCAACTGAACCACGACTGGGCCTCATCCAGCCATGCCAGAAACAGCCAGGCTCCATGCCAACAAAGGAAGACAAAAATGTCCTACTTAACACAAGAACCACTGCTCCAAAGACAAGAAAAGCCTGCCCAGAATCTGGAGGTACCACACGGAGGCCCCCCACACCCCTCGGGAGAAGGCTATGCCAAGAGCTACCACGCTCGTGGCAGCCACTTACAAACAACTCCATCCATTCTCTTTGGCCCATATGACCCAAAAGACAGTCTCCAAAAGTTATGTCTGGGGCAGGATTTGAAACCAGGTCTCCAAGGCTATCCTCTACCCACTAGGCCTCCCCGCCTCCCCAGTGCCCCTCCTCACCTTTTCATACAGTGTCCCATTCACATCAGCACCATAGATGGGGGGGTTGAACGTTAGATTTTTCCAGTATTTTCGCTCAAGTTCTTCAAATTCATTGTAGCGTGGGGTACAGTACCTTCGAAAAAACAAATGGACACAACTGCTCAATCATTCCCCATTAGGAGAACAAGACAGCATCAGCACAGCCTCCTGCGTGAGGGCAGCAGAGGAAAACCTGCCTCCTGCCTCTATCCAAACACCCAGAGGCTGCCTGCCCCTGGCCCTGCCGGACTCAGGAGGAGTCCAGGCGTCTGCACTGGCCTGGCCTGGCACGTGCCTCACGGCAAGGACATCTGTGCCAGCACAAGAACTGGGGGAAGCAGGCCACACATCAGGAGCTCTTCTGCCAATCACAAAGAGGGTCCTCAAAGGGGCTGCTTTGAAAGGCCCCCAGCCAGTCTACTTCCTTCAGAGATGGATGGGCCTGCTCCACGATCACTGAGCACACACAAAATTTGAGAATGTATTATTAAAGGGATGGTCAATGAACACCTAGAAAAGGAAGCAGACATAGCAAAGGGTCAACTAGAGAGGGGAAGAAGGTAAGGCAGGAAGACAATCTATTAAAAAGCTATTCCAAGAGTGTAAACAAGAAATGATGAGGCCTTGACCTTGGCAACTGCAGTAGAATTGTGAGAGACATTGCAGAGCAAACCTCAATATGGCTGGGCGGCTGACCAGCATCTGGGGAGGAAGAATAGACAGGTGATGGGGACTCCAAGGACTCAGCCTGAGGGATGGCAGCTTTTGCCCAGGAGCCTATCCCTGGCAAACATGGCTGCACTGGAGGTTCCAAGGCCAAAAGCGCTGAGCTGTCCATCCAGAAAATGGAGAAAGGTCATCACTGAAGACATGAGATCACCAAGCCAATACAGAGAGGGAAGGGAAGGCCCAAAGCAGGATCCTGGGGGACCAATGCAGGGAAGTCAGTGAAGGGCCAACCAAAAAACGCCCAAAGGAGCCTCTGTCCAGAGGGCAAGTGAACAGTGGTGATCAGACGCTGCCAGGACGGCGAGGAAGCCAGGAAAGGCTGCCTCAGTGGAGCAGAAGAGACAGAGGCCTGAGGAATGAATACCCAGGACCTGACCAAAGGCAGCTTCCTTGCTAGAACCCTGACAGCCACAGGAGGGAGCAGACAGCATGGCCCAGAGGGATGGCCAAGGGCAAGAGCTCAGGGGCCTGGGTGCTCCAAGCCTGACAACCTGGTCTTACTCAGCCAAGCTCCGAGGAGCTTATGCCCAGGCTGGCTACACTAACTCTTTATAACCACACGAACCTTGGCCTGGAGGGGTGGCTGGATCCTGGAAGTGTAGAACCAGAAGGAGGTGGCCAAATGGGAACCAGGAACTCCCTAAGAAGAGAGGGACTGTTTGATGGAACCTTTAAGGTCACGGCATGGACAGAGCAAAGTGGGCACCAGGGTTAGTCTGGGTCAGTGCAAGGGGAGGCAAGAAGAAAAGGCTCAAGGAAGGTCAGGTTGGTGAGGTCACATCCTGAGAGGGAAGGACAGCAGGGAGGACCCAGCTGAAGCTGAAGAGTGACTGCATCCTTCAGCCAGGCTGCCCCCCGTCCCCAAGGCAGCTTCCCAATTTAGATGCATACTGCATCCTAGAGAGGAGGTTGGAGCCACAGGCCAGGAGGTGAGGGGCAAGGCAGACAAGTCCAAGGCAGAAGCATGGTCAGATGCTGGAGGGCACCAAAGGGGAGAGCTAAGGAGTCTCACAACGCATTGCCCCCAAGTCCAAACTACGAAGGCAGGGCCCAGGGGAGGAAGGAGGGGCTGTTGGTGGAGGAATCTGTTTGAATGGAAGCACAAGCTTCGGTGAAACAATGAAAAATGAGAAAAGTCAGGATTCCGGGTGACAGAAAAGAGCTTGGAGTCCAGCTCATGGGCTCTGGAGTGGAATTAGGTCTTGAGGAAGGATTTAGAGAAACAAATAGAAGCACAGGAATGACCAAGAGCTGGTGAGCAGGAGGTGAAGATGGGGACAGGCACGATGAGAAAAAGGTTGTTAGGAGCTAGAGGCTTTTGGGTGATGGCTCTGACACCCCAAAGCAGTGGTGATCTGCAGGTCACCCAAGAGGCAGCGTGAGACGGGGCCAGGGGCTCCATTGGGAACCAAGGGTCTTGGGTTCAAATACTGGCTCTGCCACTTCTCCCTGTGACAGCCTGAGAAAGTCACCTGACTTCTCTGGGCCTCGACTCCTTATCTTCAAATATAAGGAGGCTAGACCGGACAGACTAAGTACCCTTGGACAGTTTCCTCATCTGAAAATGTGAGCTTGAGCAGGGCTCTCCAAAGCCTCAGTCCTTGGACCCTACCAGCCATCAAGCAAAAGGAGCCCAAAACAGACACCTGGGAAAAGAAAATGAGAAAGGCTCAGGTGCCACACCCTAAGGGAGGGAAGAGAACGAAGAGAGAACAGTTGCATCAGAGTCAGAGGAGGCCCCATCACAGAAATTGGTGAGGCCCCAGGGGCTCGCTTCCATTCCAGCCCCTCCTTGGCTAAGAGAGGAGGAAAGGGCTGCTCGGAAGAGACGGGCCTTGGGAGGGCTCAGCTTGGTGGGGCTGTCACACATGTCACTCCTTGGAGCACCCTGCTTGGGGCTGGGGTGGGAGGAGAAGGGGAAACAGTAGATGCTGCCCAGGCACACAACAGGATGGCAGCACCGTCAGGACAGCAAGGGATAGCAGTAGGGACGCTCTGTGTGCTCCTTACTTATCACTGTTGGCTATCCTTCGAAACTCCCGAACAGTCATCGCTTTCTTCTGGATGTTGTATTGGGTAAAGAGGCCAGACTGCCCAGTCACCACCTGCTGGATGGGGGCCGGGATGACCAAGTCATCGATGTCGTCATAGGTTGACCGTGGCTTCCATTCCTTTGGAGGAACCACCTGCAAGGACAGACCTGAGTCTTCTCACTCTGGCTTTGTGACCACCCCACCCAAGACCAAGAAAGGCAGCCGTGGGCCACTCATGTCAAAGCTGCCTGAGCATCATCTGAAAGGAGGCCGCAGGGTGGGTAACAAAGCCAAGGAGGGTCCCGATGTCTGTTTCCTCAGCCAGGAGGTGAGTGGTTAGAACACTGGGCCTGGAATCAAGAAGACCTCAGCTCAAACCCCATCTCAGATACTCACTAGCTGTGTGACCCTGGGCAAGTCACTTAACCTCTGCCCACCTCAGTTTCCTCATCTGTGAAATGAGGATAATCATAGTACTACACCCCAGGATTGCTTCGAGAATCTAATGAGGTAGTATTTGTACCTCTCTCAGCACAGTGCCTGGCACATAGTAGGTGCTATATAAATACGGACTATTATTGTTGTTGTTGTTATCATTATGACTAGACCGAGGAGGCCAGCAGCTCAAAGTGGGGGCCATCCTCTTCCTAGGGAAGCCTCTCAGCAATGAACCCTGTTCCTTCTTGAGATCTTGCAGGAAGGTGACCTGGGTTTTCCTGGCCCTCCCTAACCCTCTCCCCACCCCAAGCAAAATGACACAGCTGGGTAGCCCCAACACACTGACCTTGGCCAGCCCCGCCCGATGAGCTCCTTGGGACTCAATGTAAGCAATGTAGCGGCTGAAGGTCCGAAACTCCTCCATGGTGGGGTAGAAGGTCATGATGCGGGCACTGGGATTCAAACTCTCTGACTCAGAAGCCATGATGCCTTCTCTTCTTAGCTCTATCTGTGTCAAGGAATCTGAAGGAAGGAAGAAAAAGTTGAGTTCTCTTGGTCTCCACCACTGGACTGTGAACTCCATGAGCGCAAGGACTTCAGAATTCTTTGCCTTTCTTTGTATCCCCGGAGCTCTGCACACAGCAAATGCTTAATAAATGCTGGTTGGCTGGACTCCACTTGTTTGCATGTTGTATCCACCATTAGACTTGGAGCTCCTTGAGGACAGGGGTTGACTATGGCTTTTGCCTTTCTGTGTAATTCCCAAGGGCAACTAGGTGTTACAGTGGATAGAGTACCAGGCCTGGAGTAATGAAGACCTGAGTTCAAATCCAGCCTCAGACACTTGGCTGGGTGACCCCCGGTAAGTCATTTCACCCTATTTGCCTCAGTTTCCTCACCTATAAAATAAGTTGGAGAAGGAAATGACAAACCACTCCAGTATCTCGGCCAAGAAAACTCCAAACGAGATCACAAGGTCAGATGAGACTGAAACAACTGAACAAGTATTCCCAAGGGTTTAAGGACCCTGGCAAACTTCATGAATGTTTGCTGCCTTGTTCTAGGTAAGAATCTGGTTCCCTAGAACAGGGCCTTTGAGTGGATTCGGGCCAGCTGCCACATTAAGGCACCCTCAACGACCCAGACGCACTCAGACTGTCAATAAACATTTATTAAGCTCCTACTGTATATGCCACGCACTGGGGGTAAAAATAAAGGCAAAAGACAGTCCCTGCACTCGAAAATCTCAGTCTCACGGAGACAAATTGCAAACAACCATATACAAACAAGCTATGGACTGGATGAAAAGTGTTCAATTGTGGGAGGGCCCAGCTGCCCGGCGGGCCGCCAATTGCACCCCCCAAGCCGCGGACGCCAGGCTCAGAGGCGGCGGGACCGCGGCCGCTTACTGCCAGAGGGTAGGAGCCCAACCCGGCCCCGAAGCCCCCCATGGCTCCCGCAGGCCAGACCCGCAGTAGCAGCAGCGGCGGCGGCGGCGGCGGCGGCGGCAGCAGCAGCAGGAGCAGCAGGAAGAAGCCTAGATACGGCCCCCTGGCGCTCATTGGCCGAGAGCATCCGGCACGGATCAATGAAAAGCCGAGGGGCCGCAGCGCCACCTCCCATTGGCCCGAGGAGCTGCCAGTCCGTACGCGGGGCCCCCGCCGCCCCTCCCCCACCCGGGAATGGTCAGCTCCAAGCGCAGGCCGGAGGTTCCACCCGGGCCCACAGCATCCCGAAGCTCACCCGCACGTGGCCGCCGCTCCGCCGCGGACCTCGAGCCTGGCGCTAGCGCCGCCTCGGGCACCGCGGAACGCGACCCACCGCCTCCACCGCGACCACCTCCGACCAGGGACTCAATGAGCTCCGCCTCCCGCCTGCTCGCGCAGCCGCACAGATCCCCGCTCCGCAGCCAATCGGCTTCCAGCAACTTTCCTGGGACCAGCCAATAAGCGCCAGTTAGGACCGGCTCAGGGGCGGGGCTTCTCCCCCGCTGGCCAATCCACGATGGCTGTGTCTGTTGCCAGGAGGAAACGCCGGCCCTAAAGGACCTGGAGCCACTGAATGACTCGGAAACTTCCGGAGACGACCAATCAGCAGTGCGAATCTGCCCGACGAGGGCCAATCAGCCCCAGGGAGGGGCGGTGTCAGCCGAACTGGAAGGGCTGAAAAAAGCTGAGAGGAGGGGCCGGACAGGGTTATTATGGGATGTTCCCGGAGGGCGGGGCCCCGGGGATCTTGACAATAGTGACGGCGCCGCGGGGGGTGGGCGCGCACGTGGCGTCGCGGGAGCGCGCTTGGGATGCTCGAGGGAAAGTATGAGATTCGACTCTTGTCACAAACCCGAGCAGCGACTGAGACTAAGCTCGTAGAATTTTAGGTCTGGACATGAACCAATCGCCCAATCAACAAACATTTATTAATGCTGTTAAACTGGGCATACAAAAAGAGATAAGACAATCCCTGGCCTCAAGGAGCTTAGAGTCTAACTGGAGGGACCACTCGCAAAGTGCTACGTACCCAGCGAGTGTATACTCCGGATAAACTGGAAATAATTAACAAAGGGAAGACACATTAGGAGGGGCTGGGGAAGGTTGGATTTTATTTGGGAAGGTCAGAGCAGAAGAGGGAGAGTATTCCAGGCATGGGGAAGGAAGAGCCAGAGATAAAGTGCAGATCCGAGAGACCGAGGAACATCCAGGAAGCCAGAACCACTGAATCCAAGAGTGCAATTAGGGAAAAAGATAATGAGTTCTGTATTGGACACGTTGAGCTGAAGACGTCTACTGGACATCCGTTCGGAGATGTCTGAAAGTCAATTGGAGAGTGGAGGTCAGCGGAGAGGTTGGGGCAGGAAAGGCAGATTTGAGACTCATCCGCATAAAGATGGTGGTTAGGTCTGCGGGAGTTGATGGGATCACCAAGTGGCATAGAGGGAGAAGGGGGAGAAGGGACGAGGGGCCAGGACCAAGCCCTGAGGGACACCCAAGGTGAGAGGGCATGATCCGACCAAGGAGACTGGGGAAGGAGCGGTCAGATGGGTGGGAGGAGAACCAAGAGAGAGAAGGGGTGTCAGGGAGGAGAGAGTGGTCAACGACGTCTAAGGCTGCAGACGGGTCAAGGAGAATGAGGAAGGAGAAAGGGTCACTGGACTTGGCAACTAAGAGATCGTTGGTAACTTTGGAGAGGGCAGGTTTGGTGGAACGAGGAGGTCAGAACCATATTGTAAGGGTTAAGAGGAGAGTAAGTGGAGGCACCCACTGTAGATACCTTTTCGAGGAGTTTGGCCACAAAGGCAGAAGAGATAAGGCATGACGGCAGGGATGGAAGGATCAAGTTAAGGTTTTTTCAGGATGAGGGAGACGTAGGCATGCTTGTAGGCAGTAGGAAATGAGCCAGTAGTCAGGGAGAGATTGAAAATAAGTGAAAGAGTGTATGGGACCCATGAGTCCATTGATCTGTACCTGCCTCAGTTTTACAGATGGGGAAACTGAGGCACAGGGTAGCAGGTCTAGTCAGGTCCTAGGCAAGGTTTATAGGATCCTAGATTTAGGACTGCAAGTGACCTTGAAGATCTTTGGGTCCAACTCTCCCCCCATTTTACAGATGGGGAAACTGAGGCCCTGAGAAGTGTCAAGCTCAGAGGACCAAATCTGACCTTGTCCCCATTCCTAGACCCATGAATTGTCTGACATGACCAGAGGTTATCACTACCAGCCTCCGACTATTTTGTAAATGTCCCAAAACTCTCTTGACTGAGAGATTCCCAAGCTTTCTCTGTGGACTTTCGCTTGTTATGCAAAACAACTTACCTAGTGAAACCTAGGTTAGTCCCTAACCCCTCCCACCTGCAGTCTGGCCAATCTCTCTACCTGACCCCTCCCACCTGCAGCCAGTCCCTCTGCCTTAGTGCCCTGTATAAGCCCTGTTCCCAGACCCCTCCTGGGTAACTGCACCACTTGCTGTGTGGTACCCCAAGGTGCAATTCACTTGCCCTAATTAAAGACCGCAATTTTGTTATGTTGGCTGTTTTCTCCGGAATTCAGGTTGACACAAGACAAGTGACTCTCCCAGGATCTGAGTTGGGGTTCATGGAAGAAAGGAAGGAAAGAAAGAAGAGAGGGAGGAAGAAAGGAAAGAAGTAAGAGAGGAAGGAAGGGAGAAAGGAAGAGAGGGAAGAAGGAAGGAAACACTTAGTAAGCACCTACTATATGCTAAGCATTGTGAGGCAGTTGAGACAATTAAGTGACTAGATAGAGGGAGAGGGAGGGCTGGGCCTGGAGTCAGAAAGACTCTAGGGGTTCAAATAGGACTGTGGACACCTCCTAGCTATGTAACCCTGGTTGAGTCACTTAACCACAGTCTGACTCAGTGTCTTTAGCAGCAAATTGGATATGTGAGTGAGAGACAGCAAGGAGCTAAGGGTGGCACCTAGCTTGCCAGCTTGGGGAAACTGGGAGGATGGTGGTGTCCTCGACATTAATAGAGAACTTTGAAGTGGAGTGGGGTCTAGGGGGAAAGGGGAAAGGAAAGGGTAAAGAATATATATTTACATAGCACCTTCTTTGGGCCAGACACTGATCCAAGCACTGTACAGATAACTCATTTGATTCCCATGACAGCCCTGTGAAATAGGTATTATTAACCCCATTTTACAGTTGAGGAAACTAAGTTAGATGGGTGAAGCAATTCGACTAGAGTCACACAGCAAGCAATTTGTTTTGGGAAAAGGTTTCAAAGTCGAGTTTTCCTGACTCCCAAGTCCAGCTAGCTGCTCCCCATCATAAAAACCAGTCAGGGATTGCTGCACCTTCTCATCAAAGTACAAGTCTCTCAATGAGGGGACCAGAGAGCACAGCCATGGGTATAGGTACCCTAGTCCAGGATGTTGGAGATTTCCCTGGTCACTCTGGATACAGATTTGTCTAGGAGTTTGGCAGAGAAAAGGGGGAGAGATAGAGGAGGATGGTAGTGGAGATGACATGAGCTAGTAAGTATTTTTTTTTTTTAGGGATGAGAGAGAACTGTGTATTTTTGAAGGAAACAAGGAAGGAGCTAGTAGATGGGGAAAGACTGAAGAGGAGAGAGAGAGAGAGAGGATGAATATGGAGACAGTCTTCCTGAGGAGAAAGGAAGGATGAGATCAAGGTTACCCATGGAGGGCTTGCGGCACAGTGGGTAGAGCAGTGGACTTGGAGTCAGAAAGACCTGAATTAAAATCTGACCTCTGACACTTCCTAGCTGGGTGACCCTAGGAAAGTTATATAACTTATGTCAACCTCAGTTTCTTCATCTCTGAAATGGGGGTAATAATAGCATTTTCCTTCCAGAGTTGTTATGAAAATAAAATGGGGTAATCGTTGTAAAGTGCTTTGCAGATTTTATATCACTTTATGAACGCTAGCAATTATTATTATTATCATCATTATTAAGGAGATATGACATCTCTGAAGTTTAGAAAAGGAGGAGAAGGTGGGAAATGATGCCAAAAGATTGGAGAGGTAGAGAAGACAGAACCCACAGTCAGTGGCCTCTCTTTTTCCGGTAGAGTAGAAGGTGAGGTCCTTAGCTGAGTGGAGGAAGGTGGTGTGGGAGACTGGAAGAGAGAAAAGAAGGTTTGGATCAGCCATCTGGGGGAATGTGGTAGAGAATCAATTAGGGAGGTAGAGAAGGCAAGTGAGATTTGACAACATGAAACAAAACATAGAGAATCCAGTTTCTATTGTTGGGTGACTTTTTCCAGCTCTGTTAAATAGGAGATGAGTAAGCACAATATGTGTGGATGATGGGAGTCTTCCACAGGTAGGGTTGGCAAGGTGTGATTGGTCATAGGACCATGAAGAGACAGAGAAAGAGAGAGACATCCATCTGGAAGTGGCCAACGAACCTCTTAGGATCTCAGGGACTCAAGTCAGAGTCAGGTGCCTTGAACTTGTCCAGCATAGTGAGGTGACTACTTAGTCTGTCCCTACTCATCTTGAGCTTCAACATCTTCCTAGTCATTTTTGTTCTTTTCTTGCTCTACCAAAGATCTTTCTCCGTGGCAGAAAAAATAGCAGCTAAGAGTGGAAGTGTTCTGCCTTATCTGTCTTGGCATTGGTTACCATCAATGCTTCCTTCCATTCTAAGCCTTGGTCTTATTCCCTCCTTCTGTCCTCACACCTCTGTCTCCAGTGTCCTTTAAAAAATAAAAAGATACATTGGTTATCCTTCATTGCCCTTGACAGCCTCAGTTCATCCTGAGGTATAGCCCTTCCTGACTGTTCTTACACAACTGTGCCAGGCTCCTGTCTTCACCCTGCTACCTGGCCTGGTTTCCATCTTCTGTGCTTTGCTTTTAAAAATCTGCCTTGGCTAGGGAGCTACCTGTGTATCCACATCAGTCTCTTCATACAAATCCCCTTTTTCCTTCTCATTGAAATTGTTTCCATTGTGCCTTCAGACTTTCCTTCTTCAGTCTCCCGAGCTGACTTCTCCTGCAGAACTCTAGCAAATAACATTCTATCTATCCTTCGTCTGACCTCTTTGAAATCTACTCTTCCAAAACCCATTGTGCATGCCAGGACACACTCGACTTTCCAGAAGGGAAAGAGCCCTTCTCCCTCAGGTTTCTGTCATTTCCAACCACTGACAAGAGGAGGTTGCACCTGAAAGGGAAAAAAAATTTTATAAGCCCTGTGGTGTTTGGTTTGCAGTTCTGGACCTTGTAAGACGCTCATTCAAAGCAAGACTGAGATGAAAGTGAAATGTCTATTCAACAGTCCCCCAAAGTGCCTTTGCCTATTGGGAGAGTATCATGATAGAGATGGGTTATTGTTTTAT